GGTGGATAGCAATGCAGGAGCGAGGGATTGGTGGACTTTAGGAGTAGACTGTGTGCACACCGGGGTATATGGTAAGAGAGGAGATAGGAAAAGACAAATTTAGGATAAAGGGCAGGAAAGAGGGCGGTAGGGTATGAGAGGAAGTTGGAGTATTGTATTTTAATTGATTATATTATAAGTATTTTATATTATCTTCAAAAGACTGCATAGAATTATTGTGCGACACCTCTTATATTATGTATAATACTAGGGACCAACTACACATTTTTTTTTCCACTGAATAAAAACAATCTCAATATTAAATTAAATTATAAAAAAGATACTGTGATATTTTATTGATGAGAAATGTACATTTATAATTGTATTAAAACAAAAATAAACATGCCCATGATTACTATATATACATATTTTCATAATTATCAAACTTAAAAATATATATTGTTACAAAGAAGAAAGCACTATTTAAAAACTTCTAAAAGTTCATAATTTGTTAAATTAGTAATTAAATACTGCATTTTGTATAATTTTTAAGCTTTATTCTTTATTTTTCTTTATTTAATTGAATAGATATTAACATCCAATGTAGCATACAGATTAAATTAACAACCAAAAAAATAAATCTTAACTTTGAATATATTTTGTTTCTTTTAATATCAATCAACTGGATTTTGTACTACTATTAATATGAATTCTTTATCTGGTGCCATCATAATTTTATTTTTTTTGCTACGTATGCGCAAGAAAGTTAAATCATTTGTTGGATTCAAGTCACGTACGACAGAACGAGCTTATCTGACAATTGACTTATCAAACCTGCGTATTGAACTGTTTTCGTATTATCTAATGTTGACTTTATAGGAATACCTAAAACAAATATAATTTTATAAATTTTTGTTTACAACTACAAGTAAATCATGTCAATGATCTCATGTAATACCTTCTGCATTCACCACTATTGTTCCAACTACCCTTTTATGAGACTGAATTTGTTTCATAGTTTCTTCAACCTCTTATAAATTATTTCATCGAAATTTATTAATAAAATTTTATTTTAAATATTCCAATAACGGAAGCAAATCATATGGAATAAATGCGTTCTTTAATTGTAGGCTGCATATGTGGTGGATGACTGTAAGTCCGACAAAATTCCAATATTCATGGGAATCTATCAAAATCTATATTGTCATACTTAGCCAATGTATTACACAATATATTATGGTATATATAGCCAGATGCTTGCAATGACACTGAGCAATAAGATCCTTGCCACTACAATCACAATGATAAAAATGATTAAATAAATTTAAAATAAATTTAAAAAATATATTATTTTGATACAAAGTGTGTGATGAATAATATTTAATTTTGTATATTAATTATTGGATATATATGTACCTGCAATAAGAAAATGCCAGAAAAATTGTAAAATAGTTCCTATAGCACTGATATTAGATTTATCTTGTTAAGCTAATCGAATGCTGCGATGATAACTAGCCATTGCCCAACCCATGCTCACAAGTGAGCTGATAATGCTACCTGCTTGATGTACAACTGAAAAAAATATAGAAGCTAATTAAGAAAATTATTAAAAATATATGCATACTCATACATAGGCATTTATATAATTGAAATATTATTGAAATAATAGCAAAATATCTGATTTTGTATCACAGACTGTAAACTTGCACATAAATTATTATGACAATAAATTTGCAAATAATAACATTAAAATTGAATGTAAAAATTGAAATTGAAAATTGAAATTGAAAATATCTAACCCCGCACGCTGTCAATATAGCGGAGGGCAACTATCGCCGTCTGTTGTAAAACGTGCGAGATGGACATTTCCAATACATGCATCTATTCATGTGTGTGTACGTGTGATATATGTGTGCGCATGTGTTGTATACGTGTGAATACGTGTAGCACGATACTACTATGTTTGCGTGGTCGATGATGATAATGATGACGGGGACGTTTCTTAAAAGAAATTTTTCATATTTCGACTTTGCAATTATATATCTCTGCTTACAAATCACGTAGAGCAGAAATAAAGACACTTTTATTATATAATTCAAACTCAATCTATCGATTAAGTCTAGTATAAACTCGATTGCTTCAGCCGTTATTGAGAATTCGAAATATTATAAAGACTCAAATGTCCGACTCGCGTTAAGATACACGGTGTCTCGGCTACGCCCTTAACTGGTCGCGAGACACTACCGTGTCTCTTGATATAGAGAAAAGAAGATTTTCATCAAGAGAAGAAGATAGAGAGTGAAGATTGAATTAGATGGGGGGGGGAGAGAGAGAGAGAGAGAGAGAGAAAGAGAGAGAGAGACAATATATAAAGAAAAGAATAAATATCCTTTTTTTATATCTTTTTTTACACCAAAATTTCATATAGTTTGTTCCAAATAATTATTTAAATTTATATATGTATAAAAATGTATTATTCTGCTTTTATATATATATATATATATATTACATTTATCAATATATATATATTATCAAATTTAAATTTATTTAGATTCAGTTAAAAATAAAGTTCTTTTTAATTTTCTGTTATTATACTAAAATCGATTTTAATATTAATTATTAAATTAAAATTAACTTAATAATTTAATTTTTGATTAATTACAATTATTTTAATTGATTCTAATTTAAATTGTAAGATTAAAATTTATTTTATTATAAATTATAATTAAAAAGTTTTAATTTTAAATTATATTGAAATTAATTGCGATTAAATTTATTGTTAAATTGATTTGTTTTGATTGAGATAATTATTTAATTAAAATTAATTTAAATTAAAACAATTAAATTTAATAATTTAAAAATTAAATTAAATAAAAAAATTAAAAAGTATAAAAATAAAAATAAAAAAAAATAAATAAAATAAAAATATTAAGATTAAAATTTTAAAAAAATTGTAAAACTAGATTTAATTAAAATTGTTTCGTTAAAATTAAATTAATTTTTATTTTACCAAAATTGAATTTTATTTGATATAAAATTGAATGGATTTGACATTACTTGAATTGAAGTTGATTGTGACTTGAATTAGACTGAAATTAATTGTGATTTGGATTATTAGATTGAAAATAAACTTGACTTGAAATTGGTTGTGAGTAGTTATTGATTGAAATTATTATTGAATTGAAATTTGACTTGTGAATTGAAATTGGTTGTTACCTGGATTGTTGGACTGAAATGAATTGAAATTTGACTTGTAAATTGAAATTGGTTGTTACTTGGATTGTTGGACTGAAATTGATGATTTGAATTATTAGCGATAGAAATTTGATTGAATTAAAATTAATTATTGTGATTTGGATTAGAGGAATTAACATTGATTTTGAGGCTTGTATTATTGGATTGAAATTTGAATTAAATTGAAATTGATTATGATAGATTGTTAAATTGCAATTGATTGTAATTTGGATTTTTTATTAGATAAAATTTAACTTAAATTGACATTAATTTTTATTTGATTCAAATTAGTTGTGATTTAATTATTTAATTAAAATTAGCTTTTGTTTAAATCGTTTTTACTTATAATACATCTAGATTAAAAGTAATTTTATTTTGATTAAGATTAATTTTAACTTATTATTAGATTATTAAATTAAAATTAATTTTAATTAAATTATTAGTTTAAAGTTAGTTTCCATTTAAATTAATTAATTAAAATTATATTTTAATTCGAATTAATTTGATTAAAAAATAAATTTTAACTATAATTGTAAATTTAAATTAATTTTAATTTGATTAAAATTATTTTTGATATTACTTGATTTGAAGTGTTGGATTAAAATTAATTTTACTTTAAATTGTTGAATTAAAAATAATTTTTATTAAAATTATGAGATTAAAATTCTTTTATATTTTTAAATTAATATTAAATTAAATTAATATACTAATTTCATTAATTTTAAACTGAAATAAATAAAAATTGATAAAGTATTATTATAATGATAATTATTATTTGATTATTATTTAATGATACATAAATTAAAATTGATTATTGAAATTGGTTTTTTTTCTCTTAAATTAAAGTTGGCTGTAATTTGAACTAAAATTGACTTTGGCTTGATGTTGAATTGAAATTGACTTTGATTTAGATTATTTAATTATTTTATTACACTACTAAAATTAATTATGCCTCGAAGAAAAGTAGTTCGAACTGCTGAAGAAGAAGAAGAATTCCAGTGTAATAAACGAGAAAGAAAAGCAAAATCTCAGATGGAAAGACGGGAAATGAAACGAATGATAACTAAACAAGATTGTCAATCTTTATCAAATAGCAGTGAGATTTGTCTAAATATAGCGCAAACTTTAACAAGCTTCTCGAAAAATATAGTAATAGATCATGTTGTTTCACAATCAGTTAATTCATATATGAAAGTACTATCTCCAACAAATAATGTTAATGTTAACGATGATACTGATATAATTAGAAATGTTCACAATTCAACTACAGAAATTTTATTAAATAACAATATTACTTTCTCTATACCTAGCACATCACACAATATAATTGATAAAAGTAAAAATGCAAATCGTAATGAAAAAACTCGAGCTTTAAAAAAGGATTTGTAGATATTAATAAATCTTATACTACTCAACTACAAAATATCATAGAGTATTACATAGGAGAAATGAATATATATTGTGAACATTGTGGCGCAAAACATTTTAATTCTGAAAAAGTAGCTAATAAGGGTAATTCATTTAATGATTGTTGCAGCCATGGTTCTGTTAAGTTAGATTCTTTACCACAACCTCCGTATGAACTTTATGAATTATTTATTGGAAATCATCAAAAATCAAGTCATTTTTATAATCATATTCATGGTTACAATAATACATTTTCATTCGCGTCATTTAATGCAAACTTAGCAGATTTTAGTGCGCAAAGACGTGGACCTTATTGTTTTAAAATTCAAAGACAAATTTATTATCAAATTAATACTGCGTTATATCCCTCATCTAACGAAATGCCAAGTTATGGTCAACTTTTTATTGTGGATAATAATGAAGCAACAGAATGTCGATTACATCGAAATTCGAATCTTGATAAAGAAATTTTACATTTAATAGATAATATAATGCGTACGAATAATGTTTTTGCACAATCTTACCGAATGATGCATAAAGAAATTGAACAAATCACTGAAAATAATAGTATACGTGAATTACAATTGAGATTTTTGACAAAAAAAGGCATTGATCGTGGCCGATACAATGTGCAAAGAGTAAATGAAGTTGCAGCTGTTTTTTCTACTACAGCAGATGGTGAAATTCCGGAAACTTATGTAACAATATATAATAAAAATGAGAAAACGTTACAACAAGTCAGTACAATGAATCCAAATGTAGAACCATGGATTTATCCATTATTCTATCCATATGGTAATCAAGGATGGCATGATAATTTACAACGTAAGAATTGTAATAAACGAGTAAGTAGAGCTGCATATGTAAAATATCACATAGCTATACGTGATAATTTTAATATTTTTATTATGGGCAGACGATTATTCCAACAATGGCTTGTAGATAGTTATATAAAAATTGAAAAGAATCGAATTAATTATTATAAACAGAATCAAAAACAATTACGAGCTGAGACTTATCAAGGATTAATTGATTATTTAGCAAACACCGCCAATAATAACAATGCTCATATTGGAAAAATGATTATACTTCCATCGACATTTGTGGGTTCACCGCGTAATATGTTGCAACATTATCAAGATGCAATGGCTATTGTTCGGAAAAATGGAAAACCAGATATCTTTGTTACTATGACTTGTAATCCAAATTGGCGCGAAATTAAAGAAAATTTACTTCCAAATCAACAACCTGCAGATAGGCCAGATATATGTGCTCGGGTATTTAATATAAAAAAGGATTGTTAAAGTTATGTTAAATTTATATTTATATATTACAGAGCCTAGTTAAACTCTTAATTTATACACGCTGGCTTAAAGGCGTTTATTTACCAACATTAATATATATAACAGAGAAAAGTATAGAATCGAAAGGATCTGAATAGCTCAGATGGAAGAGCAGTCGCCCGGCAAGCGAAAGGTCTCGGGTTCGATTCCCGATTCTGCGACTTTCGGATCTATATTTTTCTCTCGCACTTTATTTCTTTAGGGGGAATAGGGGATACATGGAATTAAAAATCTCTTGTAGAGATTATTCCAATTTTATATCTTGGCCGTGTCCAAGTAAAAATTTGGTGCCTTGTGCACAGGTATTTAATTCTAACGAAAAAATTTAGTTTCGTTTAGAATAACGCACTGTCATCCGCGATTTGGCTCTTATTGCCTATCTTATATATGTTAAATTTATATTTATATATTACAGAGCCTAGTTAAACTCTTAATTTATACACGCTGGCTTAAAGGCGTTTATTTACCAACATTAATATATATAACAGAGAAAAGTATAGAATCGAAAGGATCTGAATAGCTCAGATGGAAGAGCAGTCGCCCGGCAAGCGAAAGGTCTCGGGTTCGATTCCCGATTCTGCGACTTTCGGATCTATATTTTTCTCTCGCACTTTATTTCTTTAGGGGAATAGGGGATACATGGAATTAAAAATCTCTTGTAGAGATTATTCCAATTTTATATCTTGGCCGTGTCCAAGTAAAAATTTGGTGCCTTGTGCACAGGTATTTAATTCTAACGAAAAAATTTAGTTTCGTTTAGAATAACGCACTGTCATCCGCGATTTGGCTCTTATTGCCTATCTTATATATGTTAAATTTATATTTATATATTACAGAGCCTAGTTAAACTCTTAATTTATACACGCTGGCTTAAAGGCGTTTATTTACCAACATTAATATATATAACAGAGAAAAGTATAGAATCGAAAGGATCTGAATAGCTCAGATGGAAGAGCAGTCGCCCGGCAAGCGAAAGGTCTCGGGTTCGATTCCCGATTCTGCGACTTTCGGATCTATATTTTTCTCTCGCACTTTATTTCTTTAGGGGGAATAGGGGATACATGGAATTAAAAATCTCTTGTAGAGATTATTCCAATTTTATATCTTGGCCGTGTCCAAGTAAAAATTTGGTGCCTTGTGCACAGGTATTTAATTCTAACGAAAAAATTTAGTTTCGTTTAGAATAACGCACTGTCATCCGCGATTTGGCTCTTATTGCCTATCTTATATATGTTAAATTTATATTTATATATTACAGAGCCTAGTTAAACTCTTAATTTATACACGCTGGCTTAAAGGCGTTTATTTACCAACATTAATATATATAACAGAGAAAAGTATAGAATCGAAAGGATCTGAATAGCTCAGATGGAAGAGCAGTCGCCCGGCAAGCGAAAGATCTCGGGTTCGATTCCCGATTCTGCGACTTTCGGATCTATATTTTTCTCTCGCACTTTATTTCTTTAGGGGGAATAGGGGATACATGGAATTAAAAATCTCTTGTAGAGATTATTCCAATTTTATATCTTGGCCGTGTCCAAGTAAAAATTTGGTGCCTTGTGCACAGGTATTTAATTCTAACGAAAAAATTTAGTTTCGTTTAGAATAACGCACTGTCATCCGCGATTTGGCTCTTATTGCCTATCTTATATATGTTAAATTTATATTTATAAAAAAGGATTATTTAATCGATATTATTGTTAGACAAAAATTTTTTGGTGAAGTTTTAGCATATGTTTACGTAATAGAATTTCAAAAACGTGGATTACCACATATACATTTATTGATTACATTAAAACAGAATTGTAAGATATCAAATTCTGAAATAGTTGATAAATTTATTTCTGCAGAAATTCCTGATCCTAATGAAAATGAAAGTTTACATAATGTTGTAATGAAACATATGATTCATGGACCATGTGGAAATTGGTGTTTGATAAATGATAAATGTTCAAAACATTTTCCAAAACCATTTCGACCTGAGACGACTATGGATGAAGATGATTACCCGCACTATCGTCGAAGAAATAATGGATTGCTGTACGAAAGACCTGGACGATACGTTGTTGATAATCGATATGTTGTTTCATTTAATCCAACTCTTTTACTTTTATTCAATAGTCATATTAATGTTGAAATAGTTTCGAGTATACGGTCAGTAAAATATTTATATAAATATATTTATAAAGGTCATGATGCAGCATCTATAGTTATTGGAGAAAATATAGATAAAACTATAAATCATGATGAAATTCAAAATTTTATTGAAGCTCGGTATGTCGGGCCTGTGGAAGCATGTTGGCGCATTTTAAGTAAACCTTTGCAAGAAAAAAGTCACGCTATATTTCGTTTACCGGTTCATTTACCAAATGAACATAATGTAATAATCGATAATAATATTAATAATGATGCGATAAGATCTGCTGTAGAACGAGTAACAATGATGTTAGATTATTTTGAGTTAAATGTTCGAGATGAAGAAGCAAAACAATATTTATACAGTGATATTCCATGTCATTATGTATTTAAAAAAATAAAAATTAGTGGCAAAATTATTAATCGCTGGGAGAAACGTCAAAGATACTTTAATTGGTCGTATGTATTCCGTCAGCCCATCTCAGATAGAATTGTTTCATTTACGTATACTTTTATTACATGTTAAAGGAGCTACAAGTTTTCAAGAATTAAGAACAGTTAATAACGAAACACATCAAACTTTTACTGCCGCATGTTTAGCATTAGAACTCATAGAAGATGATGAGGAATGGTATCGTGCAATGAATGAAGCGAAAATTTGGATGATGCCAAGACGACTTCGTAATTTATTTGTACGAATTTTGATTCATTGCCAACCAGTTCATCCAAAGAAATTATGGGATAAGTTTAAAATAGATATGTCGGAAGATTATGCAAGAAGATTTGGACCTATAATAGGAATAAAGAAAGTTTATAATTATATTACTAATGTGCTTCAAATGGAAGGTTCGAATATTGCTAATTTTCCTGAATTAGAACAAGAAATTATTGAACAAGAAATAAATAATGAAGAACAAATTGAGGAAGATACATCGATAGGTATGCAACAATATGAACAATTAAATATAGAACAAAAAGAAATTGTTGATACTATTTTAGAAGCAACAATAACAAATAACAATAACAATAATTATTTTAAAAATAAAATCTCAACGGCAATCGGAGCCTGTGCGGACGACATGCACAAAATTAATAAATTAAAATGAGATCTCAAATCAAACTCATTTATTAAATTCTAAACGTTTCGACCCACTTCGGGTCTTCTTCAGTAGCTGCAAAATACAAAGAAACAAAAATAAAAGATAATCGGTACAAACAGAAAATTATAAAACTCATATACATACAATCCGCAAATAAATTAAATATCATTCTCCTCCCTATTCAAACCGTCCGGCCGTCGGAGCGTCTCCCTAACGGTGACCATCGTCAGGAAGGAAGCAGAGCAGTGACTCCCTTACCAACACTAATCAACATAGTATAGATTAAACGTAGAAAAATCCACAAAAATTAAAAATTAAAAACCGGGAAGTACACTCACCCCGACAGTAAAAACAGAGAGAAGACGATGCTACACGTGACACATCACTCTAACGACTGTGCGGTATTCTACCTCGACACAGTCGATACATATATACGCAAAAAACAAATATAAAATATAAAAATAAAATATGAAAATAAAAATAAAAACAACTAAAACTTATCAGCACTCATGTCAAAGGTCTAATAAAAAACCGGCTATGTATAATCACAAAGCTAGATTTTGGTAAATTTTTCTATTAACAGATCAAAATTCTCGTTTAATTTATCAGTGTCGCTATGTAAATTTAAACTATTCCTCTGCCGTTTTATGTGGATCATTTCGGATATCAAACGTTTACCTAAAAAAGGCTCCTCGTCTAAAACTTTTACATCCTCCCAATTAAATTCATGGTTCAATAATCTATGTTCCGATATGACTGATAATTGTGACGATTTTAATTTTTGTGGATTTTTCTACGTTTAATCTATACTATGTTGATTAGTGTTGGTAAGGGAGTCACTGCTCTGCTTCCTTCCTGACGATGGTCACCGTTAGGGAGACGCTCCGACGGCCGGACGGTTTGAATAGGGAGGAGAATGATATTTAATTTATTTGCGGATTGTATGTATATGAGTTTTATAATTTTCTGTTTGTACCGATTATCTTTTATTTTTGTTTCTTTGTATTTTGCAGCTACTGAAGAAGACCCGAAGTGGGTCGAAACGTTTAGAATTTAATAAATGAGTTTGATTTGAGATCTCATTTTAATTTATTAATTTTGTGCATGTCGTCCGCACAGGCTCCGATTGCCGTTGAGATTTTATTTTTATTGTAACACAATAATTCGAGCCGAGATTAACTGTTTTTATATTGAATTTACGCTGGCTGTAATAATGCGTCCGTTGAGGAATTTCTTCCAATTTGTTGGACACAGTTTCAATTGGAGCGCTGTCAAACATTTGAAGGATTGGATTAAATTAAACAAAAGCCTGATTAGATTAAACTTGCGAATCAAATTTTTAAAAGATTGTTTAAATCAGAATGTTACACCGTCTCATCTTATATTTCTTTCTCGTTATGTTAATAATTTATATCATTATAAGTCTGCATTGAAACACAAATTTATTTTTAAACGTACTATTAAAGACATTTTAAGAAATGAAATTTATGATGCTCATAGACAGAGGCACAAAGTTAGATTAGATATTTATGAAATCGTTCGTTACATCATGATAGATCTCCCAGTGTGTTATTGCGATGGGTTTTTCGGTGAGCAAAGCAGATCATTACATTATTTTTATAATAAGGAGCGGGTTCGACTGGATGATAAATTTAGATGGCTCTTAGATAAACAAAATAAATTCAATAATAGAAATATTCGTCCTATCCAATATTATTACACATGTACGAAAGAATTTTCTTCAAGGCCATGTGAGTCAGGGCCGTCTCAGTCTCTCAGCGTTTCCTTGAACCCGACTTCCTTTGTTTCTTTAAATCCTGATGTTGCTGACAAAAGAGATAAATGGTTTTTAAATTTATCATCCGTATCGATACCGGTTGAAATTCGAGATTTGTTGCGGTTAGGAGAGAACTTCTGTCTGCCAGTATTTGACAAAGATAAAACCACCATAGAGTTGTTGAAGAATGTAGAACAAAATATTTTTAAACTCCCTGTGGAAAAACGATCTGCAGTCAGAAATAGAGCCTTTCCCATAATAAATAAATTCCATATTTCCATGTCTGAAAAAGCTCACACAAAAAATAGTTTTTGTAAGGCTTACAAATTGACGGGTAAATTCATCCAAGACAATCCCGATATTTTATTTATGAAGGCGGATAAAGGTAACATCACGGTTGCGATGAACAGAGATATGTACATGGACAAAATGTGTGATTTGCTGGCTGACCGGGATACTTATACTGTTGTTAAAAAAGATCCGACTAGGAACCTAATTAATCAATTACACGGAATTTTAATGAGATGGAAAATGAAGAATTACATTTCTTCAACAACATATAAATCCCTGAACTGCACGGACGGGGTTCTACCGAGAGCGTATGGTCTGCCGAAGGTGCATAAACCGAATTGCCCTTTACGTGTCATCGTGTCATCTAGGAATACACCTCTTTATTACTTGGCAAAATTTTTACATAAGATAATATATAAGGCAATTCCGAAACCTGATTCGGCTATTTCTGATAGTTTCCAATTAGTGAACAAATTAAATGGTTTATGTGTGGATAGTGATGTGAAGCTAGTTTCACTAGATGTTGCATCATTGTTCACCAATGTACCATTGGATATGGCTATTGATAGTTTAATTAACAGATGGGGGTATATTGAAAAAGAGTGTATTATTCCACGAGATGAATTTTTATTGGCAATTCGTTTTATTATGAATTCGACTTATTTTATGTTTAATAATGTATGTTATCAACAGACTTTTGGCACGCCTATGGGTTCCCCCCTCTCACCGATCATTGCGAATATCACGTTGCAAGATTTGGAGAGTAGAGCGATTGCTGCGATTCCAATGTCATTTCCATTTTATTTTAGATATGTTGACGATATCGCGTTGGCGGCCCCACCCTCCATGCTTAAAATTGTTTTAAACACTTTCAATTCTTTCCATCCTAGATTGCAGTTCACCATGGAGGAGGGGGTTGACAACCGATTGAATTTTTTAGACGTCACCATTATTATAAATAATGGGAGCATTGAGTTTGATTTGTTTCATAAGCCGACGTATTCAGGCAGATATTTAAATTTTGAATCGCAGCATCCTCTCTGTCATAAAAAAGGCACCATTATCAGCCTCATTGATAGAGTTTTTTGGCTATCTCATCCGAAATTCCATAAAGGTAACTTTGAGTCTATGATTGGAGTTCTTTTGTCTAATAATTATCCTCTCAATTTGATATTTCAAACATTACAAGCGCGGTTAAAAAAGTTGTTCTTCCGCTACAATAATAAGTTGCATAACAATAGAGCAAATATATGCAATGACAAGATCCTTACGCAGAAAAAAGTTTCGTACTTTAATATTCCGTATATTAATAATGTATCGAAGAGAATTGAGGACATTACACGTGATTTGGATGTCATTCCATCCTATACAGCAATTAACAGTCTCCGTAAATTATTAAAGTACACAAGGATAAGTTACCAAGGGAACTCCATAACAATGTAGTTTATAAAATTGATTGTATGGATTGTGATGCGTCGTACGTAGGGCAGACGGGTAGATTGTTGAAAACTAGGATGAAAGAACATCGCAACAACATAAAAAGAAACGCGTCACAATTATCAGTCATATCGGAACATAGATTATTGAACCATGAATTTAATTGGGAGGATGTAAAAGTTTTAGACGAGGAGCCTTTTTTAGGTAAACGTTTGATATCCGAAATGATCCACATAAAACGGCAGAGGAATAGTTTAAATTTACATAGCGACACTGATAAATTAAACGAGAATTTTGATCTGTTAATAGAAAAATTTACCAAAATCTAGCTTTGTGATTATACATAGCCGGTTTTTTTATTAGACCTTTGACATGAGTGCTGATAAGTTTTAGTTGTTTTTATTTTTATTTTCATATTTTATTTTTATATTTTTATATTTGTTTTTTGCGTATATATGTATCGACTGGGTCGAGGTAGAATACCGCACAGTCGTTAGAGTGATGTGTCACGTGTAGCATCGTCTTCTCTCTGTTTTTACTGTCGGGGTGAGTGTACTTCCCGGTTTTTAATTTTTAATTTTTGTGGATTTTTCTACGTTTAATCTATACTATGTTGATTAGTGTTGGTAAGGGAGTCACTGCTCTGCTTCCTTCCTGACGATGGTCACCGTTAGGGAGACGTTCCGACGGCCGGACGGTTTGAATAGGGAGGAGAATGATATTTAATTTATTTGCGGATTGTATGTATATGAGTTTTATAATTTTCTGTTTGTACCGATTATCTTTTATTTTTGTTTCTTTGTATTTTGCAGCTACTGAAGAAGACCCGAAGTGGGTCGAAACGTTTAGAATTTAATAAATGAGTTTGATTTGAGATCTCATTTTAATTTATTAATTTTGTGCATGTCGTCCGCACAGGCTCCGATTGCCGTTGAGATTTTATTTTTATTGTAACACAATAATTCGAGCCGAGATTAACTGTTTTTATAAATAATTATTTTTATATCGATGGTCCAGGTGGTTCTGGTAAAACATTCATTTATACAACCTTATATTACTTACTTAAAAATAGTGAAAAAATAGTTAGTACGATGGCATTTACTGGTATTACTGCAACATTACTTCCAAATGGAAGAACAATACACAAAGTTTTTGGGTTACCTGTTCCTCTTTTTGCTGATTCTATATCAAATATTAAAATTCAATCTAAAGAGGCTGAAAAGTTAAAACTTGTAGATGTTTTTATTATAGACGAAGCTCCTATGGCACCTCGTTATGTATTAGAAATAATAGATCGAACATTACGTGATATAATGCAAAATGATTTATATTTTGGTGGTAAAATTGTTCTTCTTGGTGGAGATTTTAGACAATTATTACCTGTAAAAGAAAAGGCTACGCTTTGTGAAATTATAAATTTATCGATAAAATTTATTAGTTTATGGAAACAATTTAAAATATTTTCATTGACACAAAATATGAGAACTTTATCACAGGAAAAACATGTTTACACAATTTTTATTAAATTTAGGTAATGGTTCTTTAAATGACCATTCAGATAATATTCATATTCCAGAAAAATGTGTAGCAAACGCAAATTCGGATATTGATCTCGGTTAAAGATATGTACGGAGATATTATAAAACATAAACAATATAAAACTATGACTAATTACGTTATATTATCTGCAAGGAATGTTGATGTTGATGTTGATGAAATAAACGAAAAGGTAGTAAATTTATTGGACGAAACAACAGAGAGAATTTATACAAGTATAGATACTCTTGAAACGACTGGAGATAATCAAGATATACATGAAATAATTCCAATAGAATATCTCAATTCTTTAAATCCATTGTGTCTTCCACCTTATAAATTACGTTTAAGAAAATACACTATTGTCATGCTTATTAGAAATCTTAGTATTAATGAAGGTTTATGTAATGGTACAAGATTACTGATTTTAGATTTAGATAATAATTTATTGCGTTGTGAAATTTTAACAGGTAATAAAATTGGAGAAATTGTTTTTATTAATCGTATCATTCTGTATTGCGAAAATATATATCCATTTACATTTAGAAGAAGACAATTTCCAGTGAAATTAGCATTTGCTATGACCATAAATAAATCACAAGGACAGACTTTCGATAAAATTGCAATAGATCTTCGAAAAGATATTTTCAGTCATGGACAACTGCATGTCGCATTTTCACGAGTTCGTTCTTGGGATTCGTTGAAAATTTATTTAAAAGATAATAATGTGACTAAAAAAATCAAAAACTATGTTTATAAAGAAATACTAGATTAATAAAAGATAACAAATAAATATGTGACATATGATTATGTTATAATAATAATAAAAAATAATAAAACAAATAAAAATTTAAAAGATTTTTATTTCAAATATTTAATTTAATTAACGATTATTATTTAATTAAAGATTAATAATTAAATTATTTTAATTAAAGATTAGAAATTATTTTGTTCTTTTAATCGTATTTGAAGTGAAAATGAAAACTAACTAAACAATTTTTATTTTTTTCTTATAGCCTATTTATATTGTATTATATATATTTAATTTTTTTAAATTAAAGGATAATATTTATACCATTTTATAAAATTATTATAAAAAGTACACATTTAATAAATTTTACAGTATTTTAATTATAAACGACGATTTTTATTTTAATTAATAAAATACATTAAAAGAACATTAAAAGGACATTAAGAACATTAAGAGAAATTGTGCTTAATTGAATTTCAAAATTATATAACTATTTAAAGAAATTGAAATATAGTTAGCGCTGTATAAACCGCGCGGTGATAATTGTCGGTTTTTAATATTTAAAAACAAAGCAGAAATTGAGAAGTTTACAAACCGAAATATTGTACTTAATTAATTTAGTATTTAGGTAATTAATTAATTAAAGTTTGAAGATGGCGCGCGCGTCAGCGCGCGCTACGTGCTAGTCCCTACAGTAAAATCTCTGTGATACCAGGAAGTTTGCCGAAAAT